CTGAAAAAATGGTGAGAAGATTGTAAAATCTCAGCTTGGGCATTTTAAGAGCTGCCATTCTAATTTTTAATCAAAATAGTCATCACCGAAGCACGATTTATGCCAAAAGGTATTTTTCCTTTTCTTCTCCTTCAGGTTTTCGTTTATTGATTGTGTTTTTTTATGACCGGTATTTTATTTCCTCCCGTTTGCATACAAACAATTCTTGTCTATAAACGCTCTAAAGTGATTCGAAAATAATATTTTTTTTTTATATTGAAAGCCAAAATGTTACTTTCTTGTCAAATAATCTCCGTTTGAGAAGTCGACTATCGTCATCTGCATCTCATATAAAACAGAAACAAAACAAAAAAGAACAAAAAAAAACAACAAAAAACAAATAAACAAAAAAAAACTAAAATTAAAACAAAGCAAAAAAAAAAAAAGAAGAAAAATCGAACAGTGATTCCCCGAAAAAAGAAAAAGGGAATAGAAACAAAAACAAATTTCATCAGTTTATTTATTTATTTTTTTTTAACTGGTATCACCCCATTCAAGGCGTTAAAGTCACTAAGACACAAGGGGTTATTGGGTGGAAAAGAATTAGAAAACAGAAACATTACTAATGAGCGGGAAAAAAAAGAATAATCTGGAGAACAGTAGATATCGATTGACATTACATTTAAATCTTTAAAGATCAATGTTGGTGTGGAAAGCATGGAGCCGGAAGGGAGTTCCACAAGCGAGAAGTGTAAGAAAAGAAACTGTTAGCATAGAATTGACGATTACATCGAGCCATTTTAACTGTGAAATGACGAAAACTAGTCGCCAATCTAGTACTGCGCTTAAATTCAAAGCCGCCATTTTGTTTCCTTAGAAATCATTCTCTTAAAACATGTTTTCAGGAAAATAGGTTCCTCAAGTCAACAGTCATTCCTTTTTAAAGTGTTCATGTTCCAATCTTCCCGAAATTTTGGTTGAAGTTGTGTTGGGACGTCGGCACGTCCATTATGTAATGATTTTCTCTTCAAGTTATATGTGCTATCCATTTTAGGCGTTGCTGCTGTTGAAACTCCTCAAGTGATGTGATCAATGTTATTCGATTCAGGTCTTTGTGATTCTGTAACGTCAGTTCACAAGGTTCGGTGCAGGTCGGTCCCGGATGAGACCAGGACGCTTCACTTGCTCGAAGTCATTTTTAATCATCATTCTGTGAAAGCGTTTATTTTCAGCAAGGTCGAATTTACTGTATTTAAACTTCAATCTTCCATGAATCTCTGACGTACATTCATATCTGATAACCGAACGCTCCTTCGTGGCCAAATCGGTAAAGGCACGTCAAGCTAAATGACGGTTCCGTATAGGATACAGGTTCGAATCCTGTCGGAGGACGAATATTTTCTGTGAAAATTTCTCGAACATTCAGGCCGGTAAATGTTGTCTAATACTATTTATTATAAACAGAGCATTTACTTAAATATTTGTATCTATAAAAAACAATGTATAAACATAAAAAGGTCTTAAAATAATTGTCGGACTCTGTCCATTTCATAATATATATATATATATATATATATATATATATATATATATATATATATATATGTAATCACATCTGGTTTCTCTCACTTGACATATCGGCCGATTATTTCATTTACTATCTACCTGTCCCTTTTGGCGAAATGATTTCCCGATAATTATGCGTTTAAATTGGTTTCTCCCGCTTTGTAGCCCCGTGGGAAACTGGGGACTGAACGGCCTCCACATATCTCTCCTAATCGTTTCGTGCAGTGATGAACACCTGCAGTTGTTATAAAAGGGGAAGATTAAGTTGAACTTTTACGCGGTCAATATCAGCCAATGGGCGAAAGTGCACACACAACACACTCGTTGGAATCCTCGTTGAGCCGGGCTGGTCATTAGATAGCCGGACGACGCGCGGAGGTGTGTGAAGATGATTTTAAATGTTGTACACGAACAGATGGTTCTATATTCGACCTTCCATCAGTTTGTTTTAGAGACTATGCTTAAAGAGTTTTATTTTTTTTTTTAATAATCCAATATTGCGTAATAATTGAATTGACTGAACCGCTCGTAAAATGTTGATTTATTTTGTAGATTATTTCAAGCCGAATCATACTTTGGATTGTAGGAAGTGTTCCAAAGTCGTCCCTTATCTAACTACTGACCGGCTCGACTCTGCTTAACTTCGGTAGTCGATCAAGAGCCAGGGTCTTCAGCGTGATTCTTTATAGGGAAAAATTTTGCAGATTAGCATTCAAAGATCTTCCTTTAGCCTCTACTGTTACGAATTAGGAGAAAAGACATCATCAGGAGTAAGCAGTTTTCATTGACACAATTACATTTACAAACCTGTAAATAAAAAAAAAATAAAGTACAGGTAATTCTTTAAGACGCCAAGGATCAATTTGAAACTATATATATATATATATATATATATAATACGTCTGTCTTTTCCCCCTTTTTCTCTCTTTCGATTCACTTTTCTCTCCCCCTCTCTCTTTGCCATAAAACTCTTTTGAATACGTCTGGCTTTTTTCCCCTTTTTCTCTCTTTCGAGTCACTTCCCTCTGCTCCTCCCTCTTTGCCATAAAACTCATTTGGATACGTCTGCTTTTTTCCATTTTTTTTCTCTTTTTTCCTTTTCCTTTATTTCCTTTCCTCACTATTCCTACATATCACTTCCGTTTTCTTTAACCATATAAATAGGTCAAGGTTAGGTCACTCCTCCTACCCCAATATAAAGCTTATTTAAGAGAGATGTAAATTTAACCCTCACTATACTTTGTATTGTCTCTTTAACCGCCACCTTCACCCTCCCTGTTTAATTACAAAAATTACACTACCCATCAATTTCTAATCACATTTTACCTCTCATTTCATTGTTGGAAGTGTTACCTGATGATCCGAAATCCTTTAAAAAGGATTTTGGTGAAATAAATTATTGTAATGGTATCTAAAAATGGTACCTAAAAATGGTCTGTTTTTCATTAAATATTAGCTCTGTTCTTCACATTGAGCTCTCAGGATTTCATCCTCCTTGATTTTTTACAAATTCTTCATATATATATATATATATATATATATATATATATATATATATATATATATATATATATATATATATATATATATATATTAGAGAGAACTCAGTAGAGTTCCAACACGGAATATGTGAGCGAGCGGCGCTTTGTTGAGTCTGATTTGCAGCCATTTCGTCGCCGAGGCCCAGTGGAACAGATGGTATGGTGTTCGCTTGACAACCAAACTGTCAGGGTTTCAATTCTCGATAGTGGATGCGCACTGCTAATGAGTCCCAAATAAAGGACGAAACGGTCGTCAAGTGCTTTCTGCATTCTGTTGAGGTTTCTATCAGACTCGATGAATTACTTAAATATATATATATTTTAAAAAAAATTATATTTTAATCATTTAATCTTAAGCAAGGCGATAATGTTACTAAGATGCAAGGGGTTACTGAGAGTGAAAAAGAACGAGAAGACTTTAATGCGGGGAAAGGACAATAAAAAAACAGGTATCAGGTAGGCAGAAGATGGCAATTGACCTTATGTTTAAATTAGAAAACCAGCATTCCAAACCCTGTAGAAGGTCTTGCGATATCTAAAGTCACAGCCAGAGCCCCGTCGTTCCTATGTAAAGCCTGATAGATAAATTCAGTAATAAACGCTAGCACATTATTGGTAGAAAGAAAGAAAAGCCATACCGTTTATCCGAAAGAAGTCCGTGTGAAATGAGATGCTTAACCAAATCGGGTTTGATTAGAGACTCTAGCACGTTGCAAAAAAAAAAAAAAAAAAAGTAAACGTCAGGAGTGAGAAGGTTCACCAGAATTCTTAAAGACATGAAATACGAAGGATGATTTCCGTCGAGTTGGAAAGCAAGAAGCATTATTATGTTTGGAGAGAACATATCCTCCGACTTATACTCAACGAAAGGGAGACAATCGCCATTTGTATCCCGACAGATCTGTGTGACGGTAAATACATCTCAAATATAAAATAAAACAGGAGGGTCTGTTATTTGTTCAACAGAACATAACTGAAACAAGATTTCTTTTACATAATCTTCTTTTATGTGTCATGTCTCTTCCGGAAGTTGGCGATTCCACAATTTCCTGTCCTTTGTAGCTCCAAGTAAATATTGTCATTTTGCTATCTAGCCTAAACTCCGTCCTGTCAACCATTTACACAAGCTATTTAGGTAGATTATGCGCTGTTTTCCTCTCTTCCTTTTCCATTCAATATGCCTTGTGAGTGTCACATTTTTCAAGCCCTCTTACCTCATTATGAAATTTCAACTGTCGTTTTCTGATGCTATGTATAATTGTCCATTTTGTTTGCATTTTCTCTGACGTTTCGTCGTTGCTCAGCCTGTTCAGTTGATTGTATTCTAAGCATCCTTCTATACAGCCAGATTGATATTGCTTTAAGTCTCTTCGTCATCTTTGGACAGATTGTCCTGCACTCACATGATTGACCCGAACGTGTAGGAGAAATATGAAAGCAGATCTTCCTAAGACGCACTACCTAACTTATACGCTAAAAATCCGAATGAAAAAAAAGGGCGTATTATGCATGAACAATTAAGGTAGCCTTTTATTTCTCTTAGAAATAAGAAAAGAATTTACTGAAGAGAATTATCTGAGAAAGAGTGAAATAGAGAATGAGTGTTGCTTGTCTCGATTTAATAGATCTTGTGACGATGGCGTTATATTGATCAAGTACATTTCACGAAATTGGTTAGTAATGGTCCATCAAAGTGACTCTGAAACTCAGTTGGATTTCAAGTGTCTATGTCAATTTAAAAGCCACTCTCGCTTCTGATTGCTTGAGACGAAAAACTAAATTTCATTTATGTGTCATTTTGAAGCGCTTCGGATTTAATCGGCCGACTTCAAGCGGTTTTGGGAGTTGATCGGCGGGTTAATTGATCAGACACTTTTTTCGATAATGATTGAAATTTCAATAGCGAAATAAGAAATGTCCTTTTCTTCTTCTTCTTCTTCTTCTTCTTCTTCTTCTTCTTCGTCTTGTCTCCCTTCATCTTCTTTTCGTCTTGTATCACTTCTTCTTCTTATTCGCTAATATTCATTTTTCTTCTCGTATACCTTCTTCTTCTTCCTGCACGTCTTGCATCACTTCTTCTTCACGTCTTGTTTCTCTTCTTCTTCTTCTTCTTCTTCTTCTTCTTCTCAGCTTGAATCACTTCTTCTCGTTTTGTCTCTCTTCTTCTTCTTCTTCTTCTTCTTCTTCTTCTCCTTCTCAACTTGTATCACTTCTTCTCGTTTTGTCTTTCTTCTTCTTCTTCTTCTTCTTCTTCTTCTTCTTCTTCTTCTCAACTTGTATCACTTCTTCTTCTCGTCTTGTATCCCTTCTTCCTCTTTTTCACGTCTTGTCTCTCTTCTTCTTCTTCGCATCTTGTATCACTTCTCCTTCATGTATTGTCTCTCTTCTTCGTCTTCTTCCTTCTTCTTCCTTCTTTCTTGTATCGTCTTGTATCCCTTCTTCTTCTTTCTTCTTCTTCTTCTTCTTCTTCTTCTTCTTCTTCTTCTTCTCTCTTGTATCCCTTCTTTCTTCTTCTTCCTCCTTCTTCCTTCTCGTCTTGTATCCCTTCTTCTTCTTCTTCCTTTTTTTCTTCTTTCTTTCTTCTTCTTCTTCTTCTTCCCACTTCGTCTTGTATCTTCTCCTTCTCCCTCTGTCTTGTATCCCTTCCTTCCCTCTTCTTCTTCTATCCCTTCTTCTTCTTCCTTCTTCTTCTATCCCCTTCTCCTTCTTCCCTCTTCTTGTATCCCTTCTCCTTCTTCTCCTCGTCTTGTATCCCTTCTCCTTCTTCCTTCTCCTTTATCCCTTCTCCTTCTTCCTTCTCGTCTTGTATCCCTTCTTCTTCTTCCTCCTTCTTCTTCTTCTTTCTTCTTCTTCCTTCGTCTTGGTATCCTTCTCCTTCTTTGTATCCTTCTTCTTGTATCCTCTCGTCTTCCTACTCGTCTTGTATCCCTTCTCCTTCTTCCTTCTCGTCTTGTATCCCTTCTCCTTCTTCCTTCTCGTCTTGTATCCCTTCTCCTTCTTCCTTCTCGTCTTGTATCCCTTCTTCTTCTTCTTCCTACTTGTCTTGTATCATTTCTTCTTCTTCTTCTTCTTCTTCTTCTTCTTCTTCTTCTTCTTCTTCCCTACTCGTCTTGTATCCCTTCTCCTTCTTCCTTCTCGTCTTGTATCCCTTCTCCTTCTTCCTTCTCGTCTTGTATCCCTTCTCCTTCTTCCTTCTCGTATCCCTTTTCTTCTTCTCCCTTCTTCCCACTTGTCTTCCCCCTCCTTCTTCCTTCTCGTCTTATTCTTCTTCTTCTTCTTCTTGTTCTTCTCCTTCTTCCTTCTCGTCTTGTATCCCTTCTCCTTCTTCCTTCTCGTCTTGTATCCCTTCTCCTTCTTCCTTCTCGTCTTGTATCCCTTCTTCTTCTTCTTCCTACTTGTCTTGTATCATTTCTTCTTCTTCTTCTTCTTTGTATCTTCTTGTATCCCTTCTCCTTCTTCCCTTCAGGAGGTTCTTCTTCCTTCTCGTCTTGTATCCCTTCTCCTTCTTCCTTCTCGTCTTGTATCCCTTCTCCTTCTTCCTTCTCGTCTTGTATCCCTTCTCCTTCTTCCTACTCGTCTTGTATCCCTTCTCCTTCTTCCTTCTCGTCTTGTATCCCTTCTCCTTCTTCCTACTTGTCTTGTATCTCTTCTTCTTCTTCTTCTTCTTCTTCTTCTTCTTCTTCTTCTTCTTCTTCTTCTTCTTCTTCTCCAATATTGATTGTTCTTCTCTCTTGTTTTCCATCCCTTCTCCTTCTTCCTAAAGAGTCTTGTATCCCTTCTCCTTCTTCCTTCTCGTCAGGTATCCTCAACTTCTTCCTTCTTCACCATATTCCAGATGTTTTCTAATGTACATCAAATAGTCCTAAAGTATCCCTTAAACCAGTCCATACTTTTTTTTTTTGATTATTACCAGCTGGTGTTCCCAGGTCCACCCCTGACTCGAGGTGGTTGTTATCCCTCCCAGAAGGAAAAAAATTATTACCAGCAATGCAATTTTTCGTCTTGAAAAATATTGAAACAGATTTTTTTGACAAAACAAAATATTACCCGCAATAAAAAATTTTGTCGGCATTAAATAAACCATTGAGGTTGATATGCTGTAAAACAAAATAAACCAAACCAAACTGCACCGATAAAGTCATCCCTTCTTCTTCTTCCTCCTTTGCAGACATTTCGCCTGCATGTTCTACAACATGTTCAGCACTCTATAGACTAGGATATTCATTAAAAGCATGGTGAGCTTCAAATATGCCTTATTAATTGAGTCTGACAGTTCAAGACACAATGATGGTGACATTTTTATATTCTATACTTTACCTTTCATCAGTCTTGAACAAAGTATTTTAGTTTAGGATGAGTGTGGTTTGAGATCAGTGAGTTTTTTCCTAGCTGACAAGACCAAACTTAAAAGAGGAACCGTTTTGCCACCGAGGCATACCACGTAGTAAACGCTACAAAGGTAAGCATTAATTAACAGTCATTGCTTTCCCCCTTTCCCAGATCTAACAGCTGCCACTTCGTTTCGCTGCTGAACGAATCCATGAATAAACAAAAACAATTTTTCGACTGTTTTCTTTGTACGTAATTTTCCGATAACGGTGTCACTTTTTGATCTCGGGACTTTTATTTTCTGCATCAAACTACATCGATCACCCAAGAAGCTTCTATCTAAAGCCTAACCAGGTGATGACACAAAACAGAACGCTGCACCTGGAAAACTCGATATGCTTATCTATCGTTTCAATTTCATGTTTATTCTATGGTTTGCCCCACGAGCGAATCCATAATTTACAACTACTTCTACTACTACTAGTCACTTTATTATTATTATTATTATTATTATTATATAGGAATAAAGTGTCGCTCCCGACACTTGAGTTTGAACATAGATCGCCAGTGAGCAAACACAGGCAATCCCATTTTTGAATTAAGTAGACCACGTGACCATAGAGGAAACGCATAAGTATAGAAGGTAGCGTGACGGCTAATCAATCGTATTTCTATTATTATTCGAATCGCTATTTCTACTCTATCCTCTATTATTATACGGAGCGCTATTCTCTACTCTATTCTCTATCCTATTTCTCTATTCGGATCACTATATAGGTTACTATTTGAGCGAGTATTATCGAGCAAGAGTGAGTGCTATTCAAAGGCGTCTGACATCAGTATTTCTCAACGGCGTTACTATAGTTGCATCTGCGATTACAAAGGCTCTACTACAACGAAGAGGCACGGTGGAGTAATGGATAGCGTCTTGGATTGCGAAATCGGAGAGCCGAGTTCGAATTCCAGTCGAATCCATTACATTCACTTACGTGCTTGGGAAAAGTGTGAATCCTCTTCCTCTCCCTCCAGCTATAGGTAAATAGCAGGACGACGGACTGGGTTCTATAGCCTTGGATGGCAATTGGTCTAAGAGAAGAACAACTGTGAATTCAAAACCGGGAGTGGAGCCCCTAAGGCGGATGGACGGCACGTTGTGTTACCTTCCGGCAACTGGTACCAAACTGTATTGGTTTATTCTCTCTGCTAGCAAGGCCGAGAGGGGGAACTAGACGTCCGGGCAGCCCTAGTTCTCCATATATCCCACCCAGGCTCGTAGCCCACCGCGCTACTCCATCGTCTCTCGAGACGGACGGATTCCGACGGCGACAACAACTACAACTTGCATTACGAAAGTGACAACGAGTATTCGTTGACATCACAAAAATTATTATTATTCAGTTCTACGCCAGTGGTATTTACTGTTTATTTCCGGAAATTTCCTAAAATCTTCAGCATTCTCCTCGGTGTGTTTGCCCATTTTACGCATAAAATCGTGTCAATTTATCCAATAATTCACTTTTTGTAGTATTATTCCACTCTCCGGAGAGCGTAGTTCAAATTCCAGTAGGTTTCGTCACATTCACTTACGAGAAAATATCCATGGGGAAGGCATGAATCCATCTTCGCCCTCGCGCTGTAGGTTAAATAATAGGACGTGTATCTGAAAAAAATCATTGTTATTCTAAAAAAAATTGTTAATGCAATATTCACTGGCAAACAAAAGAATTGTTCTTACTTCACAAAATACGTTTTGGCTTTAAAATAATCAACAAAGTTTTAATAAACCTTAAGAAAACAAATCAATCAATCGATCGATCAATCATTCAGTCAACTTTCAAAATAACAAATTCATAATATTGACTTAATAATGGTTCCAAAATACAAGAGTACTAATGCTGGTAATTCGGATGTGTCAAAGAGAAAACATTAAGTGCTTTCTTGAAGTGAAAAAATGGGAAAGTTATTGACTCGAGTATGAAAGAAAAAAACATTGTAGGCTCAGCTTCCTAAGGTCTAAGGTAGCGTTTGTCAACCTTTTTAACCCTTGCGTAGCCCTTAAAATAAATTACATATCTCCAGGAACCCCTGCGCAAAATCAAACTTGTATAGCATATCTTTCTCGTTTTATTTTCATCGTATTTCACGTGGTAAATATCATGGTATAAGTTGAAATTTTCTTTCATCTGAATAAGGCATACAATGGCTGAAACATTATGAAAATGGCAATAAAGACGAGGACAACAGTCAAAAAAATGTAAATAGTTGCAATAGCTCATTTCAGAAATATAGACTTATTAAAAAAAACTGGAGAATGTGTTGACTGAGTCGCAGTCGGACAGAGTCTCTGGTTGAATCTCTTGATTCCCCCCTCTCTTCCCGGTACCAACCATATTTATATGGTCGGTACTCCACTATGCAAATTAGGTGGATCCTACCACAACAGTATATATTTTTAAATAACCGTGCGTAGCCCTTAAAATAAATTACATCTCCAGGAACCCCTGCGCAAAATCAAACTTGTATACCATATCTTTCTCATTTTATTTTCATCGTATTTCACGTGGTAAATATAGTATATAATTTTGAATAACAGGTTTAAGGAAAAATGAATACTTCTTTGCCAAATTTTTTCGGTAATGTTAAATAAAATTCATACTGTTCGTTTATAATACTTCATCAGGATAGTTTTCATTCACACAAAAAATTCCAAACTCAAACGTAAAAAATAAACATAAGTAACCAATATCCTATACCTATAATATAAATGTAAACAGAACGAAAAACAGATAATTGCTGCATTAGTTTTTTTTTATCCTTTACTGGCAATGTTGAAAAGACAAGCTAAATCAAGACAAAATGTCCTGTAAACCAATAAATGGGCTAAGAAATTTTTTTCATAACATAATAGGTTAGATAGAATGATGTCTGTATTAGAATATTAAAATAACCAAGATTATATTGGGTGTGTTTAGTAATATTACGTATATGAAATTAAATAAAAAAAATCAAAAGTACATTAGCTTGTCTCACCTGTTCTCGCGGAACGCTTGGGGACGTTTAGCGGAAACCTAGGGTTCCGGGGAACCCCCGTTGGGAAACGCTGGTCTAAGGTAAAAAAAAAATGTTCTTTCTGTTACATCTGATTTTATTAATGCGTATTTTTATAATTATTTTAGTCCTTTACTAGTTTTTTTTGCTAATCTCTTATTGTGCCTAATAAGATCTCAACTCTTGGTTAGACGATAACCTACATCCGGCATCAAAGTCTCTGCTCGAGAGGCTTTGAGGAGCGTGGAACCACCTCTTAAGTACTGTTGTTCCCGGGTCTACCGTTACCCGGTGTTACAGTTACGGGCAAATAGCTTTCAATAATCTACCTTATTTTTTGTCAGTTATTAGTTATCTCCTGTTAATTCCCCTCTTCAAGTTCTCCACTGTCTTCACCAGGTATTGAACTCACAACTCTTTGGGTCCTATCACTGGATCTAAGTAACAACTTTATCCACTGTGCCATGCGACCTTAAGGAGATAACTGACACCCATTAGACATGGCACGTGGAACTAGAACTGTCTATTCCAGTGAGCGAAATAAAGGGTTCAATTCGACATTCCAACCACCTGAAGAAGGCCGGAGCGTACACAGGCCGAAACGTTGTGGTAAATATGGCAACAAAGATGAGAAGAATAGTTCGAATAATGTAAATAGTGTACATAATACCTCATCGCAGAAATATAGATAGATACTGAAAAAAATACTAACAATACATTCTTTAAATTGAATTACGAACAATACATTTTATAGCAAAATGACAAGCAATACATTTTACTTGTAGTTGAAGGCATAACATTGTGTTCAAAATATTTAGTCTTCAGCATTAAACAATTCATAGAGGTTGATATATTGCTAAACAAAATCAACTAACGAAGCAAGCAACATGAAAAAACTCTTTTCTGACATTAATTCATTCAATATCCTACAA